ATAGGAATGGAAGACTGTCACGTAACTCATTCCCTTAGGACAATAACAAAAACAATTCATATTCACATCAAAGTTAAAAATCGGATCCTTCAACGAAGAAATGAACTTCTGCAAAAACAAACAAAACTTGTTTCCTTTGGGAACAGTCACAAACACATGTTTCTTCCTTCTCAACTGCCACTCAATCACATTACAACATAGCAACCAAATAGAAGCTCTGTTCTGTTTGGGAGAAGGGTTGTTGATCACTATACAGTGGGGCTGCAATCTCTCGAGTTGCTGCCAAATACCATCTTGACCCTTCATAGTGGAAAAGTTGTATCCTGCCTTGAAATCCATAGGAGATGCAACTCTCACACCATTCTTTGAAAGGAACCAAGATAATCCACTGTTTCCATGAAGTAACTCAACAACATCAGGACGATCATCATTACAAAAGAAAAAGGACTGTTCTCCAAATTCGGCATCAACATACAGTTCGTGATCTTCACGTAAGTTCTCCGGATTCTCATCATCTAATGCCGGTATGGAAACATCATGCCACTCATCGTGATCACGTCTAACCTTCGACTGATTCACACGTACCACTGCCTTACCAGTGTTGGCTTGGACCATAGCTCCTTCTTGTCCAAGTACTGTGGCACGAACCCAACGTCCTTTATCCTTGAACTTTGATGAATCCTGAGTCCAAATAAAAACCTTCTCTCCTTGGAAATAGGGACCGTCACTTGGCATAGTCCTTCTTGCAAGATCTGCTCGAAGGTCCTGAGCTTGTCGTGCTTCTTGATGAGCTCTCAAAGCCACACGTTGTAGTTCCAGGTTCGTACGATCTTGTGCGGCGGCACTGGCTGGCAATTGCTCAGGGCTTGCGGTCTCAAGGTCAAAAAGATCTGGTGGACGTCTTCCAGTTGCTATCTCTATTGGTGAATATCCACTGATAGTCAACTGACAATTTCTTGCCCAAACTACCTTCTTGACCACTTCTCTGACCGTAACACCACGAAACCGTGGGTCATCCAGATCTACCTTCATAACATGCCACATACATTTGAACAAACGTACAGCTGTCTCAGCTCGGTTAGGCCAAGGAGTTCTTGGCCCACAAGGACATTGTTGTATACCATGAAACCTGTAGTATTCAACAAAAGCATCTGTGAAAAAGGCTTCGTCTCCTACGATGGCCTTCGGAACACAGTTGTTCTCATCAGACCATTGCCTCAATGCTTGGATGGTGGTTTGATCTATGAGGTCTTTCTGCGCCGTAGCCCAGAGAAGATTTGTGGCACCATCAAGAACAAGTAAGATGATATACTTGTTCTTGTGAAGTTCAACCTCACAATGATCAGCAAAAACAACATCACCAAAACATGAAGCTCTAATACCGGAGACTCTGGCTCGTGGCGGAGGTGCCACTGAAGTGTTACAAACACGGCAGTTCCTGACAACTGATTCATACTTCTCTAAAACAGAGTCAGGAAGCTTCAACATAGAAACACGTCTACGAAACTGAGTAGGACTCATATGGTAGTGCTTCACATGAAGCTTATAAAGCTCTACCTTGTCCTCCAGTCTCTGTAACATCTTCCTATATGCCGGTGTCATTGCAACAACTTCACTACCAGGTAATGGGATTGAAATCCGCCTAGGCTCAAGAGCGCCATCACCTGGTTCAAGTGGTTCATATTTATCACTTGATTGTCCTTTTGATGCTTTAGGAATTTCTACAAGTTCACCTTCTGGCCTCTCAGGTGGTTCTGAAGGAGCATACTCCTCAAGATCATCACCCTTTAAATCATGTTGAGGCTCAGATGGTTTCGACTTGTGTCCTTTCCAAAATGGATCAAAACCCTTGGAAGTATACCGAAACCTTGGCGGCACGGGCTTTTCCGCGGCACTTGATGGTGCACCTTCCTTCTCTGACGAGAAGCCTGGTTCCCTGTCCTTTGCAATGGGAACCTTCTCTGAGGAGGCGCACCACTGCATCGGGATCACCAATGCCACGGTGCTCAATACCAGCCTTCCTGATCTTTAGATCTGGAATTTTGGCATCTGGCTTGAACTTAAAAATTGTTCTACCACGCCATTCATAGCCAATTTGTAGGTCCTTCCATTTTGCCTTGCGCCAATCATCTAGCTTCTTGATTTCTTCTCCTCCTTTCTTCTTCTTGATGATTGTCAGTCGCAAGTCTTCCAGTAAGTCAGTGTCTACAGGACAGGACTTAGTTGCTGGAAAAAGAATCTTCCTATAATCCTTGTGGTGACGTATCAGTTCTCTCTTGTGAACATCTACTTCCCAGTAGTCAACCACAGGATATGCATGTTCAGCTACATCTTCATCACTATTGTGATCAACAGAAATATGACCATATTCATAGTGAGTGAAGTGAGAGTAAAAACTCTTCTCGCGCCGAGTCTGCAAATTCACGTCAGACAGATACCATGCAATATCTTGGAAGTCCAAAACAAGATGAGTACTGGCTGCAACCTTCAACTCCAAATATTTGATACCAAGAGGCACCGATGTCAAATAAGCATGTTGAGGTGTCAGCTTGAGTTCAAAGCCTAAGTTCCTCATCTGCGGCAAGCTCACAAGCAAAGGGACTTCTCCTTCTTCCACTATGTCGAACTCTGTATGGTGGATCGTCCATGCACGATCATACATGTAAATCACCAGTTTCTGAGAGCAAGTAGCCTTCTGGGAATTGGCAAAGTAAAACTTGCTCTTGGTAGCCTCAAAAGAGTACCATAATCCACAATCTGGGTGATTGTCGACATAGTTGCAAAAATAGTCGACTGCTCGCCTTGATCCCATAGCTCTAGTGCATCCAATGTCCAGGATTGCAATAGTCGGCGGGAAGCGATTCTCAGTCAAAAATGAAATGGCCTGCATCTCCTTCACTTCTTCCTCAGCGCTCATAAGCGCAAAGCCATCAGGAGCCTTTGTGAGCATCTCCTTTGACAATCAGTACCTCACAGGGGCACTCATGCCATCGAAGATCGTCTCACCATTGTTGACCGCGCAGTCAGCTTCATCTTGACATGAGGTCATCATGCCTGACAGCAAGTTCACCTCACTGTCATGGACTTCGGCTGCTGCTGTCACACAATGCGCAAAGAAACCTTGTTGACCTCCTGATGCTTGTGAAGATCTTGAAGGTGCAGGCAAAGAACGTGGCTGTTGTTGATTTGCATAATTTGCATCTTGTTTGCCATCTCCTTTATCTTTTCCTTTTCCTTTCTTGCCTTTTCTCTTGCCTTTTCCCTTTCCTTTGTGGGAAAACCATGCTTCTTCAAGCTGTTGCCAAAAGTCATTGGCATCATCATATTCTCCTTGAAGATAGTCATTCATATCTTCGGCAAGAATAGCATCATATGCTACTTGATTTGACTCCCAAGTGTCCTCATAAGGATTCTCTTCAAAGTATTCATCTGGAAAAGTTGTCTGTTGCTCATCAGCAAAATGGCCTTTGCCTCGTCTCTTTCCTTTTCCTTTTCCACGAGGTCTGAAGAATCTGCGGCCTGATCTTCCTTTACCTTTTCCTTTTCTTCTTCCTTTTCCTTTGCCTTTTCTGGCTCTTCTTCCTTGGAATCTCCTTTGGAACCACGAGAAGTTTTGATCATCATATACCCAAAAGACATCGTCCAGGGCATCTAAAAATCCTTCTGTTCCATCTTCTTCATCTTCGGCCCAATAGGCAAATGTACCATCGAGTTCTCCTTCATCAAGTACAAGGAATGATCTTCTACCTCCAGCACCTGTCGGCTGCATCAAAGGATTGTCTACTGAAGTCTTTGTCGCGCAGAACATCTCAATGAAAACTGTCCTCAACTCTGTTGTAGTGTATTGCTGCAGGACCCTGCCACGATGAGTCATCAAAGAAGTCAAAGTGTTTCGCTGGTCCTGAGACAAATCTGCAAGTGACAGCATGAGTAAGGCAATGAGATTTTCTCCTAGAGGAAATTCATTCTGATGAAAAGTTCTCATATTGCCATTGATGGTCTGCATGATTTCCTGAATCCTTTCTGCCGTTGGTGCTACTCCAGTCAACGCTGCATCGGCCTGCATCTGAGCTAGGACTTGTGGATGTGCTTGTGTGACTGGCTCTAACATGTCCATCCAACTGCTCATAAGCCTTTGGAGTAAAATCTGGAATCTTGTCATCCATTTCATCATGTCAGCTGATCCTCGATTGAAGCGCACGAATTGCATAAACCTATACAGGAATACATTGGTTGATCCTTTCACAAAATATGGTCGTAGTACTCGTTTGAAATATTCTACTCCTGCTCCTGGTGGCTCATTAGCCTTCAATGCATCTCTGTCTAAAACACGCTTGTATACAGCTGCTTCTCCTTCTAATCTGTTTCTCAATGCTGGTCCTCTCTTCTCATCTTCCAGCTCGGTGATATCACACCAATCGTCTATGGCATCCTCATAGGAAAACCATGAAGTCTTTCCATCATAAGATGGGGGCACCTTTGTAGTGACCTGTGTTGTCATTGCTATTGCTGCTGGTTCTCTTCTCACATGCCTATTCACATAGGCTGCTGGCTCATAAGCCACATCCGCATCAGGCTCTTCCCAGTCGTCAATCCAATCCATGGCCGTTTGCCCACAAGCAATTCTATGCCTAGGAAAGGAGCTCACCTGGGTCTTCCAGGATCACAGCTCCGCTACCACTGAAAGAGTGACTAGGGCGTACACGGTAGAGGTGCAGACCGCTAGTGTCTTTTATGCGCAGAGTCTTATCCTCTTGCTCTTTGAGCCTTGAAGCAGTCAAGTATGGACACACTATATCGGCTGTTGGAGTGGAACCCTGTACAGGTAGGCTCTACTTTTCAGGGGGGGGGGGGGGGGCCCCCCTACATATGAAGTTTTCACGTGATTCGGCGATCCCGAGGATTCCAGCCCCTCACTTGCTAAAGCAAGGACAACTCCAGCTAGCTGGTGCTAGCTTTCGTGAAAAGCTTTTTCAGCATCTTTTCTACGGTCGCCCTGCCTCACGATCTCCTTCATCCGTGTCATTGAAGCTCTCCAGAAAGCTGAAGCTGGGTCCACTGCTCGTCTGCACGGAGTAGCTGTTGGCAAAGGGGAGCTCCATGCAGCGGACCTTGGCACGCACCGAAATGGACTTCCCCGTCGCGCCATGAACATCCATGGTGCCGTAGGCATAGCAGTTGGCACCATCGACCTGAACGGCAAACAAGTTTGGATAAGTTGCAGGAAAAAGATATATCTACCTTCTATCCACCCCCCCAAAAAAAGGAATAGACACGTCTACCGCTACCTTTTGTGGCAAAGCCCAACATCTTCCCCTCAGAACCACGACTGGACCCTCGCCTTGGATCCGGTGCACAAACCGCTCTCCGCGTAGCACGTGCAGCCCGTGACCTTGTACCTTCGACGACAACTTTCGGAGGCCGTGCCACTGGAAGTGCCCGAAGTCCGGTCGTGGACGTTCAAAGGGTAATTCCTGAGACGAAGAACGAGACGAAGAAGAACAAGAGGCGCGAAAAGAAAAATAGAACAACGAAAAATAAATAAATAAATCCGCCGACCCCACACCGTGGGGTGAGGCGTGACTGTCGATGTTAGCCTTAGCCTTAAGCCTTAGCCTTAGCCTTAGCCTTAGGCCTTATCCTTAGCCTCAGACCTAGTCCTTAGCCTTAGACCTAGACCTTACCTCCCCTACCCCTCCGGACCCTTGTTGCAGTGACGAAATCCTGCCCTAAAAGCGACCGGATGGTGACCTGGATTGTCCAAGATTCTGCCATCCCAATTGATTTACATCTTGGGGCACCCTCTCGACCCGCGCGGGAAAATAAGCACGGTCCAAAATGGTCCTGGGCTCGAATCCCGGGCTGGTCGCGGCATGGTCCCGGCCAATGCCCTTGCTTTTTCGTAGATTTTGTCCCGTTTTCTGTTGGTTTATGAGATTTTCAAAGGCTTTTCTGGCATTTTCCTAGGAATGCTCTAGGCTTTGTCTTTTTGGGTACCTGCTTTGGTGGTGCTGGGTTGGGTCT